GGTACTTTGTTATTGCGGCCCTAGCAAACCAATACACTATATCATACCTGGGCAAAAAGAATAAATTCTGATGGAATAAAAATTTAAACTCTAAAAAGTGCTAAAGACTATACAAGTAACAAAATAAGAAATGGGAGAATTAGTGATAATAGAGCAGAAAAGCCCTTTGTAAGCCCATTTTTTAAAAAAAGAAAAGCTACATTTAGAGAACTATAGCATGTCAGAGCTCTAGAAGATCATTAATCTCTTTATTTCACAGGAAAATGACCTTAGCTTCCCCAAATTTAATAGCTCTCTTATATACATATAATAGCTAGTAACAGAATGAATACACCAATTACAGTAGCAACAAAAAACAAGAAATCCCAAATAATAAACTCAACAAAAAATGTACAGAAAACATTAATGAAGAAACCACAACAAATTAGTGACATAACATCAAAAAGAATTCGGGTAAGAGTAGAGTTATAAAATGTTTCTGGAGGGAAAATTGACTATTTTAATTACGTCACCATTATCCTCACAACGGTTGTTAAGTAATAGCAGAAACTAATAGTGATTTGTATTATTTTAAATAAATTGTTCAGACTTTTTTTTCTAAATATTCCATTATTACCAAATATCACTTTCAGAATGAAACTGATTATTTCAAATGTCAACACTGCCTGCTTAAAAGCCTCCTTTGTTTTCTTCTTTGCTAACAGTCTCATCTCAGTCATCTCAAATCTCAAGTTTTCTCTCATCCCACACCAATTCCATAGGCACATCATTAAGCTGCCAAACATTTAGTTGTCCATGACAACCCTGTTAATTTTCCTGTTGTACATATAAGACAACTGGGGATTACAGTGGTTAAATACTTGCTAAATTACATATTAAATATGTGATTGATGAACTCTCATATCTGCAAGATTTATTCCCACTCAATACTCTAGGTTCTTGACTACTGCAGTCCAAACTGCCTCCTTGATATAGTAAACATCATGATCTTTTATATTTTATCATTTCAATACCACCCTTAGTTGACCTTTCCATGAAGCACTCTCTATTTTAGTTTTCCTAAAATCTTCAGCCTTCCTAAAATCACTCTGTCCTTTCTACTTTTACAAATGCTGCTTCCTGTCCTCAGCCTACTTCCCTCGTGAGCCAAGGTTAATAATCATTTAAGCCTATTACCTGCTTCCTTAGAAATCTGGTTGTTCCTCCTACTCTGCTATAACAGTACCTGCTCCCATGTCTGCTACAGGACTTTTATATGTTGGTTTCCACATCTTTTTACTCATTTTCTCTCTGCAGTCCTCCCAGAAGAAAACTAAACCTAAATCTGCTTGAGATATTCAACAACTAGGCCAGTGCATATGACATATACTGGGTACTTAAGAAACATTTGTTAAAAAGAAATGAATAAAGATTATAAAGAAAAAGTAAATTAAAATTCATGTTTAGTTAAAAACTCTTTTGTGTATTAGTCTACATTTTTTTGATCTGAAAAGTAACATAAGAAAGATAACGGAATATAGAGGAAATCCATTGTGAGACATAAATTCATAGATGTTATCATTCTAACATTCTGATTTTGCTTTATTAATGATACTCAAATGTTTCCATATAAGTAGGTATAAATTTCTTAATTTTGAAAAAATATAGGACACAATCAGTGGAAAATTATACTTCTGTCACCTATGAACAACTTTTACAGCTTGGTCCCTGGGGAAATGGAAGTGCTACAAAGAGATGGAAGCAATGAAAGGGAAGTAGATGTTACAGACTGAAAAGGAGGCTATGTGTAATAATGACTTCACTTCTGGATGCTAGGGAACAAATATAAAGCCTTCTTCCTGAAGAAACAGCATTTAATCAACTAGCCATAGTAGTTGGATTTATTGAGCTAATTAAAAAATCCATCCTCCTTCAAAGCAGTGCTATGTAACAGAAATATAAAGCTAACCAGAGAGGCAAGTTTAAATTTTCTAGGAACCACATTCAAAAAATTATTTTTAACAGTATGTATTTATTCTAACATGTTACTCAAGATATCATTTCAACATGTAATCAATCCTTAAAAACTACTAGTGAGTTTTTTTGAAATCTGGTATGTACTTAACATGACATATCTCAATTCAGAGTAGCCAATTTCAAGTGTTCAGTAACCAGATTTGGCTGATGGCTACTATATTAGACAGTATGGCTCTAAAGCAAAGCTACTGAAATCCAAAAACAAAAACAACAATGAAAAACTCTTCTTGCAACAGAACTCTAAACTCTACTGTAAAATATACATAAGGACTCCTAACATAAAAGCTGATTTCAAGATTTGACAATGATAATGATGATGACGATATAACAGCTGACATTTGAATACAGTACAAACCATGCCCCAATGATAGTTTCACGCATGGTTTTTACTCAATTCTCACAACAACCCTGTAAGGATTATAATCTCTGAGGTGAGGAAACAATCCCAGGCAACCAGGCCACAAGGAAATATTATGTACCTGATAAAATAATAAAGGATTTTTCCATATAGATTTATTGGGCTAATTAAAAAATCCATATATAATTCTCCTTTATTATTTTATATAGAATTCTATATAGAATTTCATATAGAATTCTCCTTTATTATTTTATCAGGTGCCTAGTATTTCCTTGTGGCCTGGCTGCCTGGGATTGTTTCCTCACCTTATAGATATGGAAAGATCTCTCAATGTATACAAAAGACCTTTATATTGGACAGTAAGTTAAAAATCAGGTTGCAGAACAAAATGTTTACTATAACATTCTTTTTCCAAAGGAAAAGCACAGAAAATAGAAGACATTCTCACACATTTGTACTTTTACATATAAACAGTTAATTACAGTTATATTCATATCAAAGAATGTTTGGAAAGTTAGAAGCAATGGTTAACACTGATTATCCTGGGAGAAGGAGAGTTTAAGTTAAAAGGTCTCTTTGTTTTTAATTTTTATCTTTTATATAATTTTAAATGTTTATACCATACATATAGCAAATGATGGCAGAAAGAAAAAATAATACAAACTTTTAGAAATCAGAATGCAAAGAAGGAACAGCCTTGAAATTGACAGGAATCCTACAAATTAGAAAGCACGGCAAAAGATGGCGCATCAGGGACCTTTGCCCTCCAAAGATTTGCCAGGTAATTTAAGAACTGCTTTTTTGAGAGAAATATATAGTTTAAAAGAACATTTAAAATATGCCTATCTTATGTTAATGAATTTACCTGTGGATAAAGCTGTATTATAGGAAGCATCTGTAATCAATTTATTCCTCAAAAGCAGAGGTCAACAAGCTTTTTCAGTAAAGTTTTTATTTTTGGCATTGTAGGCCATATGGTTTCTGTTGCAACTACTCAGCTCTGCCATTGTAGCAAGAAAACAGCCATAGACAACACGTAAACAAACAGCTTGGCTGTGCTCCAATGAAACTTTGTTTATAAAAACAGTTGGAGAAGAGAATTTGGGCCATGGATAATAATTTGCCAACCCCCACACAAGAATAAGGTTCAAGGAGTTTGGCTAGACATTATGGTACATCCCCTCTAAAAAAGATCATTTTAAGACACCACTACAAGAAACCTACTGTGGATTTGCCAAAGGAGTGTTGGTGAGGACACTGTGCACTCCACCTCCTAGAGTAAAAGCCAAAAAAGATTTTTTTTTTTAAGTCTTATATGGCAAGAAATATTTTCTTACCATGGGAAATTTATCTTTCTCTTTAGGGAAATGCAAATCGTGTAACTCATGATGTCTGCAAGAAAGATCAGAAAAATTAGTACACTGATTTCTAAAAATGGTTTCCAGCCAGGTTTTTTACATATTACCTAGCAACTCTTTCTAGGTCTTGATCTTTATTGTTACCACCTTTTCCTTAATCTAGATTTTAGCTATCTTTACTTTCCATTTTATTGTACGGAAAACCAAAGAAGAAATTTTTTTTAAAAAAGCAACTCACCTGGGACTTCATCATTTTTTGTTCTTCCAAAAGGCCAGATGACTGAAAAAGCAAAACTGGTGATCAGAATGTTTTTCATAGGCCAAACCCAGACTGCAGCTTTCACTTTCACCAGCCTAGCAACAACTAACATCAGAAGTCAGGTAGTTAATGGGCTATCCTGTGGGATAATGTTGTTTGAGCCTTACAGAAGGATGAGCAGGCACCATGTGGAGGAGGGATCATTCTTTACTCCTCTTTTACCTATAATATGATCAACACAGAAGTTCGCCAAGGTTTTATCATTGGGTAGATGTGAAGATATGTTTCCAGTTGATTTAGTAACAACTTATTGCTCCCCCAGGGAATCAGGAATTCTATTTATAGAAGATTTTCATGAGGCAATAATCATGAGTAGATATATATAGACACAAGTGAAGACGGAGCTCCTTGGCAACAAGAATGGGAATGACTAGATGGAAAACTGAAGCATTCATTCCCTATTCCTAAAAAGAACCAGCAGCTGAATCCAACAATCTTCCAAAAACTCTCTCATTTCCCCCAACTCAGAAAACTCTTGTTATATCAATATGCATGAACTCAAAGGTTAATTTTAAGATGTTTTTTGTTTAAATTTGTTTTGCTGATTTTCAATGGCGCTATTGTCTGCATACAAAATGGAGATAGGTTTCAACCACTGAAAAAAGAGAATATACTACAATGCAGGAAGGTACATACCTGGTAAACTTTTCTCAGTCCTGGGACAAGTCATGCAGACAGAGCTGAACTAGTTCAGAGGAAGTGGGGGCTCCCATGACGGAGAGATTATTTTATATGGAGTATCCCAGGCTGTATCAAAACAGATCTAAAAGGAAACAAAAGAAACAGTCATACCTATCTCTGGACACCCAGCAGATGCTCAACAAATGTTTTTTGAATAAAAGATAAAATGATTTCAATAAACTTAGAAAGTAGAGACTGAAATCAAACTTTTCATTATGATTCTATCAGTTTTGATTTGTTTGGTCTTGTTTTTAAATGATCATATCTGATGGGGGCACCAGGCTTAGGGGGCAATGGCAGACTAAGAAAAGATGTGAAAAGGGGCTTGGCCTTTAAGAACTCAGCAGTTGCCTATGAGCTGCGGAAATTTAATGTAAGTAAAGGCCTTCCCCAGTAAAATGTAGCTGACCCCCATGACACCCTGGTCCCATTACTGTCTCCATCTAAATCTCGGAAGTCTCAGGCCTAGCAATTATGTACCCTACTGAAGTCTCCCATACAATTATGTACCTACTGAACGCCCCCATCATTTAGTCCATACCATTCTATCACTGATTCCTCAGAGCCCCCTAAATCACTGACACCAGTTAAACCCACCAGTCAGTCCACCTGCACGCCATTCCTGACCCCAAAGACACCCCCTCACCTCTCACTTCCCAGTTACTAATCACATCTTGGACTCCTACATAAAACCAACTGCCTCCCCAAACAGTGACTTGATAAACCTCCTACCACTGACCCTCACAGGCTCCTCTCCTTCCATTACCAATCCCACACACTCACCTTTGACCAAACACATCCCCGCCTCTGACTCCTAGCTCGATTATCAGATCCCCAAACCCCCATCACCGCTGAATGGGAACCGCTGTCACATCCATATTGGCGAACTCTCTCGCTTCCTGTCCGTGAGCGCAACGCTGGGGTCCCCAGGCAGGGCTGTTCCGTACGGGGCGGTTTTGCCCGTTTCGCATCTTCAGTGGCTTTGTTCAAAAGGCAACATGGCTGCTCCCAGATGCTGTTTCCGACTGGGGCCGCCATCTTGAGAGCCTCGTTGTTTCCGTACAAGCGGAGGATTTGCCGGGTATTGAGCCTGAGCGTGGGCTGTACCACCGCGGCAGCAAAGGGAGGGGAAGACGACGGGAAGGAGGCCTAAGACAGGAACAGTAAGGTGCACACTTTTGCAGACAGATTTTACAAGAGAGATTGAAGAGGAAGTTGGAGTGAGCTTCCCTCTACTGGAAGAATGTTTCTGACGTAAGGGGGAGGAGTTTGAAATAGTACCATGGAGGTGTTTGTGAATGGTACAGCCCTATGCCGGGAGATTCGATTTGCTGCGAGGGGTAGCGTGGAATGGTGCGGTCCTCTCCTGGGAGATTTAACTGAGGGAGGAGAGAGGGCCAAAATCTGGGGGCGAGGAGGGCCAAACAGTCATTGTGAACTGTAATTATGCCAATAACAACGGTAAGGAATTCTTATAAGAGAAATTGATATTGCAGTAATAAATTATAGAGGTCGACTGAAGGAAAAACGGAAATTAAGAGGCAGGGAAGAGGAGACTGAGGCACAAAGAGAGGGACAGTGAGAAGCAGAGAATAGAGAGAAAATGGGGGAAATGGGGACAAAGGGCGGGCCTAGAAAGAAGGAGAAATGGGAGACTAAGAGAAAAAAAATAGACATAGGAATAGAAGTGGGAAGCTAAGGGATAGAGCGCTATAGCGAGACTGAGACAGAAGAGACTTGAAAAGCAGAACCTTCATAAGGGAAAGACTGAGGAGGTTAGATTTCACAGACAACAACAACCGTGATTTTAAAAAAAATGAACCAGTGAAAGAGAATACTAAAATTGTTATCTTAACCTTTAGGCCTTACATCAAGCTTTACAAAAAAAATGCATGTTCACAGACCAATGTTTCATTTGTATGAATGAATACAATTTTGAATCATAATTTTCACACAAATCATGCTTTTTGATATATTATGAAATCGGCAGCAATTTTATATTTAGCAATTTTATTTCTCATGTCAAAACAAATGCAGACTTAGATAAGAAGACAATGTATTCGGAAAGATTGTCCGCATGAAGAAGAATGTTGCAATCTCATATCTGCAAGCATCACAATATCCAACAAAATGGCTTTCTTTTTTTAAATAGGGAAGAGTAAGAAGGGTTAGCAGGAACTTTGTAGGGAGGAGGATATGAGGTAGGGGTGTGCAGGTGGCAAAACCAGGGCATTTCTACAGGAATTGTTGCTGTTGTCATGGGATTCTGGGAGTAAGCGGTTAAGGGGAGACATTCTGCATCATAGTACATTAGTGCAATGTTTCAACTCACAGCAAGCCAAAATGTAGGGGCCTGCGGGAAGGAGAGAAGTCGGACTAAAAAAAAACAAAACAAAAGCAGCACTTCCAGCCAGGCCACCAAGCACCATCTCTTATCTGCCTGAGAGCCCAAAGCCAGCGTTATATATAACTGTGGCAGGACTAATCCCCTTCGTTGCTCCAGCACTGGTCATGCTGATGACAAAAACTTATATTCCCATATTAGCTTTTACTCAGATAGCTTATGGAGTCAGTTTCCTATCTTTCTTGGGTGGGATCAGGTGGGGTTTTGCTCTACCAGAAAGTAGTCCAACCAAACCAGATGTCCTTAATTTGGCTAACAGTACAACTCCTCTTCCGTTTTCATGGTTTGCCTTCCTTTTTTCTGAAAAACTCGGTGAAGCAGAAGCCATAGTCACAATAATAATGGGTCTGGGGATAGCATTACACCTTGAAGCTTTTCTCTTACCACATTATCCCAACTGGTTCAAAGCCCTGAGGTTAGTAGTCACTTTAGTGGCCACTTTTTCACTGATAATCACTTTAATAGTTAAAGATGTTTTTTTCCGAAAAAGGACATAAGAAACCTGGTCAAATATAAAAATACACTGTAGATAACACTAGTATGCTGGTTACACCTTTTTCTACTTCTGTTTGGCTCTTTTTTCCCACACCAATGGTAATTTACTCTTCACAGATTGTTCTTCATTTCTAGAAGTTGTTATTTCATAGTAATTACTTGCGCAAGAGCTTGAAAATCCCTGTCAAATGCTTTCATCTCATAGTAAACTAGTTTTCAGTCATTTTATGAATAATATAGTTATCCACTTAAACATTTGAATGTTTTAGCTGTCTTGAAAATTAAAAGATTAAAAATTTTT